TTGTGTGTGTGTGTGTGTGTGTGTGTGTGTGTGTGTGTGTGTGTGTGTGTGTGTGTGTGTGTGTGTTCAGATGTTCTAGATGCCACTGTGTTTAAGGACTCTTGCCTCCAGGTGTTATTTCCCCTTATCAGAGGCAGCACGGACTGTCTGTACCTCAACATCTGGGTTCCTCACAACGGCTCAGGTAAACAAAGTGTCCTCCATATTAGATCCAATCAACAACTTTAAAGGTCCCCTATTATACTTTTTTTCATCAATACATTATAGTTCTCAGATATATACAGAACATGTCTCTGATTGGCTGAAACACCAAACAGATCATTGCAGCATTACCCATAATCCCCTCTGTTTCAGCCCTGTTTCAAAAGTGCTGATTCTCTGTCTGTTACTTTAGATGAAAATAAGGAGCCCCTCCCCACGCCCCTCTGAGAGAGATTTGGTTAAAAAGAACACAATGGTGCTCTAGGAGGAGATTCAGGTGATAATATGGGGTGGGGGTTCCTTGGTTGGTGATTGACTAATGGTTACACAAGACAACAAATCGTTATGACATCATAAAGGGGCCAACATCTGATCAACTCGTTTTCACTCATGTAGATGTATGAAACACATGAACAAGTGGATTTTGCATAATAGGTGACCTTTAATGCTCTCTGTGTTTCAGTGTCCTCTGATATGCCGGTCATGGTCTGGATCTATGGTGGCGCCTTCATGATTGGAAGCTCTATGGGTACTCAGTTCCTGCAGTACACTCAGTTCAGCGGGCAGGAGCTAGCCGACAGAGGGAATGTGATCGTGGTTTCAATCGGATACCGGGTCGGCTCTCTGGGCTTCCTGAGCACTGGAGAACCAGAACTTGCTGGTGGGTGAAGTAATTATTCAGAGCCAAAGAGATGGTGGCCTCCTTGCCAGATTTGTACTATTTAAGGACTTATACCATGATCCAGGGGAATAAAGTACATTTACTCAAGCACAAAATAATGTTCTACTTTTACTTGAATGCAGGACTTTTACTGTAACAGAGTATTCCTACACTCTGGTACTTCTACTTTACCTCAATTACACAATCTGAGTACATTTCCATCTCTGCCGGGATGGAGTAAAACATTTGATTTCTCTCAGGAAACTACGGTCTTTGGGACCAGCAGGCTGCCATCGCCTGGGTGCACAGGAACATCCGTAAATTCGGAGGGGACCCCGAGACCATCACAATTTTCGGGGAGTCTGCAGGCGGAGCCAGTGTCAGCCTCCAGGTACTCATTGTGTGAGCTGATAGATATACAGAGGTGGGAAGTAGTGGAGTACAAATACTTAGTTTCTGTACTTAAGTACATGTTTCTGGTAAGTACTTTACTCCACTACTTATTTTTCTGACAACTTTTTACTTTGAGTTCTTACATTTTGAACACAAATACCTGTACTTTCTACTTCTTACATGTTGAACACAAATACCTGTACTTTTTACTTCTTACATGTTGAACACAAATACCTGTACTTTCTACTTCTCACATTTTCCAAACAGGCTGGTTCCTTTAGTTTGAATGTGTGTTTGGTGGCGTGATCATTATTATTTAGAGTCATTGCGTGCCTATTGATTTGAACACGATCCGTGTATCCATCATTTCCTGGTCTTCTCTAAAGAAGAGGGACCAATGAAAACGTTGTCATGTTGCCGTTGTTCAGCATGGAAACATTCATTAGCTAACAATGACATTATTGTTCTATTAATATAAAGGGAGGTCAGGTACTCTTTAAAACAGCTGCTAGTTATGGGTACTTTTTACTGAAGTACATTTCAAAGCCTCTTTACTTTGACTTGAGTAAAGAAGTTTAGTCAGTACTTCTACTTTTACCAGAGTATTTTTANTGCTTGGTACTGATGTTGCTGGGACAGAGATATGCTTTGTCCATGGGTGACAGCAGTGGGTAAAACTGTGCATTGTCTCTCCACCACCAAAAAGGTGAGGCTTATTGACAGGGTGAGATATAAATATACTGTTGGTACTTGTCAATGTCTCTAGGTATGTAAATGTAGCCCTGTAAATCCGATGTCCTTTTGTGTTATCTGTTGTTTTATGTTCATGTTGTAACCTACTTGCTACCACGTTGGACAGGTCTCCCTTGAAAAAGAGTTTAATGATCTCAATAGGACCATGTGGTTAAATAAAGTTAAAAAAATATATATATATTTAAAAAAAAAATTTATTTACATTTTTTTTTTTTTATCGCGGTAGATTTTGTCCGTCTCACGACGGTATTGAGACATTTATTTACCGCGTTATTCGATATATCGTTACATCTCTACTAGCTTATGATTCTGTCTCTATCTAACAACCTCATCATATTCCTTTTGGTTTGGTTTTTCGTCTTTGTTTTGCAGGAATAGAGACAAAGTGTTTCTCACATAGCAAAAGCGCATATTCATTAATATGAATGAGGTGTAAATGTGTCGGACCTTGGTATTGTGGTGTTCCACATTAAAAGCAAACATTTAAAAAGCAATAAAGATACATTTAGGATATATAGATAAATGAGATGAAAAATTATAAAAATGTGTAATAAAGCCATTATAACGCATCAATACAGAATGCAATACAAAACGGTACTAAGTGTCCTAAAAATCAGCATTCTCAGCAATGTGTTTGCTATTGTGCGGCATTGCATACATATGACAGAAGATATTTTAAGCATTTTTTTCTGATCAGAGTGTGTACAGAAGTATTTTTCAGAATATTGTTTCATGCTAAGTTAGTAATTAGGTTTGTTTTAGAAATGTGCTTTGTTGTATAACGATCCATAAATGAACATTATTAAAGGTTGTAAAAAAGGAGCAAATAAATAACTCTTTTTTAAACTATTTCAAAAATAATAATGAAAAAATAAGAGAAATGTTTCAAAAATATATAAAATAAGCAAAAAAATGAAAACGATAAGAGACGGACACATTTTTCTAAAGGCCAAAAATATGGGTGGTACATCAGAATCTATGGTGGTTGAGCTTAACAGTTATTAAATAGACCGTGATGAATAGACAAATATACAGAAGTGTGCAAGATTTACAGTATTGAAAATTAGAAATGGATCACAGGATGATTGTGATCTTTAAAGATGATTGGTGATTTCATAATTTATACAAAATATATACTGTTGCCATTTTCTTGATTGAGGTGTCACTGCCCCTCATGCTACCTACATCTTTATACTCTCAGAATAATGAATGACATGTATTGAAGTGGTTGTGTATGTTTGCAGTTAAAACCTACATTTCCACATCCTACCACTGGGAGGAGCTAAAGACCATAACTTTGAGTCATGTCCTGTGTTTTTGTTGTTTGAAGGTATTTCTATTAACTCGGCTTACACAACATTAACCCTTTTTTTATAAAGCCTAAACTAGATTCCGATAGATCGCACTGCTCAGAAGCAGCTATTGTTGGTGTCGTATGGTACAATAGATCACCATTACTAATCAATGGAGGTACTTGTCAAGTACTTGTTCAATGCTGTCATCCTCTTGGAAGTGTATCCTCTTACAGTTAATGAGGGCGCTTCTTAGAGCGCACTCATAGACACTTTGTCCCCCTTTGTTTGTTATGCGTTTTTCTTCATGAATAATGAATATCCACTGTGGCTCAGTTGTCATATTAGCTTACTCAGGGACAAGTGGATTTCATCTTTCATTGTGTTTGTCCACATTGCACATGTGACCGGTAACTTTGATCAATTAGCAATGTTTGTCAATGAGCATACATACTGCTGAAAATATTTTACAATTGAGTGAAAAGTCATTACGAAAAAAAGATTTATTTTTAGTGCCAGAAGGCGCCTTTATTTGAGATGCAGTGTTGAAAGGGGGAGACTTTGCCTAAAATGTTCGGCCGGCTCTGGAGTCTAACCCACTTACTTGGCAGCTGACCGCCGGCTCTATCCACTGAACTATCTACTATCTGGCGGCCTAATAACCCATTTTTTAACCCATTGTCAGCAAATGGATTATGCATCGGATTATAAAACTATATTTAAACTAAAAATGCCTCTCCTCTCCCAATCTGCATTTGAATCAATTTTAGAGGTACCTTTTTAAACAAGCCTTAAAAGTTTTGTATAGCCAAGCATTTAATCACCACCATTATAGCATATTGTCCAGATAAGTCTTTACGTTTTGAAACTCTTAGGTTTTTGAAAGTCGTGTATAATGGTTACTGTGATATAGAATATGTAAAGTTGTGGAAATTAGCCAATAGCTAAATCTGGTTTAAATCATCTCTTCTGTCTTTGAGATGAACTTTTATGCATGGTCCTAAAGACATCATAAAAATGGTTGCTTTCTCCAGTAATTCACAGAAAATTAAAGAAAGAGTATAGAAATCTGAAAAATCTAATATTTTGAATGAGCCACACATTTTGTTGTGCTTTCCAATATATGAATATGGTTAATATACATTTAACATCTTACTATTTCTAAATGGATTGGTTAAGTAACATTTTTGTCAGCAGTGTACGGAAGTCCCCTTTTCCTAAAGCTCTGTCAATGCCTCATTACTTTAGTTTTAAGGATTTTGAACTTCTGAAGTGAACTTCTCTCATGCTGTTACAACTGGAAGTACTGTCGTAGAGACCAGGCTTCAATAACAAACTGTTTTGCTGTGATAAATGAATCTCATGTAAACAGGACACATTTTCCATAAAACTGTGGACCTTCAGTTGTGTTTTGCCCTTGGCAAGTATAGTTTTTGCCTTTGGCATATTTGTGGGGTTTGTGTTCAACTTGTATTTCCACGCGTCACATTCAGTGATCATTGGTTTGATTCCACTTCGCTCTATTCCTCTGGCCTTGTTTCCCTGCTATCCAGTTGCATTTCTGATGAATCCAAACAGTGAGGGAAAGCTAAGACTCGAGTTGTTTTCTCATTTTACCTTCTTTTTTGTCAGCCTGTGCTGCGAGCCGAGGAGCGATTATGAGCTGTGGGATGTTTTTTTATTATTGATAGCCATGTAGGAGTCTCCTATCTCTCTCTCTATGCTGATGCATAAATATTTAATCTGCAGTCAGCTCTTAAAGATGAGGAGATATGAAGGGCTGGGGTATTAATTGGAGCCCGTGGAGGCCTTGTTGGTGCCGCTGAGTCCCGTCTTCCCTCTGGTGTGTGTGTGTGTGTGTGTGTAGGAGCATCGTGATGCCAGTGGCTCAGCAGTTCAGTCCAGATGTGGTTCTGGTGTCGGCGGGCTTCGATGCAGTCGAGGGTCATCAGTCTCCTCTGGGGGGGTACAACGTCTCCGCCAAGTGTGAGTACACCTGACAGGAGTGTGTGTTTTAAAGTATGTGTGTGTGTTACCTGACAACATTGTAAAAAAAAAAGTACAATTGTGAGAAAAACGTTTACCTGACAGGTGTGTGTGTTCCTGTGGTTGTTTGTATACATCTACCTGTGTTTGTGTGTTACCTGACAGGTGTGTGTTCCTGTGGTTGTTTATATACATCTACCTGTGTTTGTGTGTTACCTGACTGAGTGTGTGTGTGTTCCTGTGGTTAAGTGTGGTGCTACCTAACAGGTGTGTGTATTGTGTGTTCCAGGTTTTGGTCAGCTGACCCAGCTGCTGATGGGTCTGGCGGGGGGGCGGGTGGTGATGGCTCTGGAGGGGGGTCACGACCTCACAGCCATCTGTGACGCCTCAGAGTCCTGTGTGTCCGCGCTGCTGGGAGACCAGGTGAGAGGAGAACACCTGTAGTACCTGTTCCTGAGACTCACCTGATACTAAACTCTACGCTCAGACTTTCTGTTTCCACACACACTCTCTCTGTTGACACACTCTCTCTCTCTTTCTCTCTCTCTCTCTCTCTCTCTCTCTCTCTCAGAGTGACTCTGTGTTCCCGTGGCCTCAGGAGAAACCCTGTCCAAAAGCCTGGGAATCATTGGAGAGAGTCATAGAGATCCAGAGTGAGACACACACACACACACACACACACACACACACACACACACACACACACACACACACACACACACACACACACACACACAGGGGTCCTTTCTCATTTCTTTAATCCCCCTCCTCGACTCCTCGACTCCTCTGTCCTCCAGTAGTGACCCGGAAATGAATTTCAGCGCGCCATGTTGAAGGACATCTCATTTCTCTAAATGCACTTAGAGGACCGAGGATCGAGCGTCGAGGAGGCTCTCTGGAGGAGCTCTAACNTAATTGGAGCCCGTGGAGGCCTTGTTGGTGCCGCTGAGTCCCGTCTTCCCTCTGGTGTGTGTGTGTGTGTGTGTGTGTGTGTGTGTGTGTGTGTGTGTGTGTGTGTGTGTGTGTGTGTGTGTGTGTGTGTGTGTGTGTGTGTGTGTGCGCGCAACACAGAGTACAGGTCATCTTCAGACATCTCTGTTCAGTGTGTCGTCTAAGTGATGACTATCAGTAGTGGTGTAGCGGAGCGCAGTTGATCTGTGATCCATGCAGATCTCCCTCACGGTTTAATTACACAGCCACCATCACTGTGTGAAGTAAAGTTCTGCTGCCGATCGAAGGCGTAGGTACATTATAGTCCAAAAGTATTTTGGTGCTGCATAGATATCCCGGGCTACAAATCGTACTCTACATACTTAATAAAATATCTTTGTTTGTTACAGATCCTTTTTAAAAATCACAACATGATCATTTTAAATGATAATGAGAATAAGGAATCATCGATCCCTCCAACAATGTGAATCATATTGCAATAGCAATATTCATCAAGATTATCACAATTAATTATTTTTTCCTAATCATGCAGCCCTGAAATTAAAGTTTAAAGGTGAAAAAATGTATGTATATGTACAAGATGGGGAATAACGACCGGTTTAACTGCCTAAAACTAGCTCATACTAGCTTAAAATACACAACTAAAACAATTAAGGAAACGATTAAAAAAATGTCTAAGCGCATTTTTATAAAATAAATATGCCAAAATGTGTTTCCCAATCTTTGAGTGGTATATTTTTATGCAAATAACCACTATAGATGTAATAATATGAAGGTAAAATAATAACATCAAGCATTTTTTCAAAGATTTTTTCGTTCGGCCACCAGTTTCTTTATTTCAAATACAGTTAAAAGGGAGAGATAGAGGAGAGGACATGCGTAACAGGTCGAATTGAAACCCCTTAGTACATTGGCCACCTTCAGCTGATCTTTCCAGTGGCCCTATGTTAAGCATTTCTCATTGGTTTTACCTGACTTTGATGCTTGGGAAATTACTTTTAGTATCAGTGGTGTGCCTCCAAAAGCACATTTTAGTTTGTTTTTGCGAAAAATAATCCTGGCTGTGACTCCAAAACGAAATACGATTTGAACCCTGAGTTCAGAGATGTGAGATGTGTTGCACTCCTTACTATCAGCCTCTTACACACAGCTGGATCAGGGATAGAGAGAGAGAGAGCTCGGATGCACAGGCCTGCAGGGTCAAAGGGTTTTACCCCTCTGCCTTCACACACACATACATAAACACATAAAGTCAAAAGAACCCCCTTCTAAGATGCATTGGCACTAATAAGTGCAATATATATTTTTAATAGGAGGTAGAATGACTACACAAGTAGTAATAAAATGAATCTTAATTGTTGTCAACAATGCCTTTTCGGGACGGTGTTGTGAAATTAGCTGTAACTAATGTTGTCTTTTCGCAGCAATAGCGTTGGCACACTGCAGTCACAATAATTCAAAGAGAGAATGTTGCGCATATACACAGCTCAATAAATGTATTTTTTAAGATACAGACACAAAATATATGCTTGTAATCACGGTCACACGCACACACTTTCCCACAGAGCCTGCACCAGTGCTGTGGTTTTGTAGCACTTTAGCCTCAATAGCACCCCAGTTAATGCCCATTAAAACCACAGCGGGCCCTGCCGTCTGGTCCCAGCCGCCAAAAGAAAGGGCCCGGTGCTCCACTGGATAAGGGGACTGATGGTTTGTTAAAAAAAAAAGGGAAAAAAAGCATGGTTTTGCAGAGGTGAAAAGAAGTCGGGGAATACAAGATGCTTTTAAAGGAGATTGAGACAAGGGCCATTAGGTGATGTCGCCTCGCTGTCTGTGTGAAGACGCACCCAGCGCTGGCGCCTGGGCTCCGCTGAGCGTGTGTCAAGTCAAAGTCAAATCAGACTGCAGGGCGAACACCCGCCAGCACACACTCCGCTCTTAGGGATCCGGAGCACCAATCACACAGCTCCTTAAGTACTGGTATCTCAAAGGGAGGCTGTTTCTGTCTCAGTTTGGGAGCATATTAGATTCATGGGTCAATTTACCCAGTGTAGCATATCCCTACTGATTCTTTTTAGAGCTGAGGTGATGTTTTATTTGAGTTTTTACAGTGGAAACTTTAGGATTACTGCTGTGTGACCAAGGGGGAGCTTTTTATTTTTAGGTTTAGAGTTTCAGGCTTAACAGGTCAAATCTAGCCTAAGACATCTCCCTTCTTTTACCTCTTTTAACCAGACTTCAGAGCGTTACACGTATAATTAAACGTAATGTGGAAACTTTAGAGATGAATGTTTATATTGGAAGAAATGTATGGCTGCCCCCATTGATTAGTTGGTTATTAGTCACCTAACTATTTATTTTCTTAGTTTTAATAATACAAAAAGGAAGCTTATCTCCGCTACCTAGGTCAAAGATGTGCTTGGAAAATGCGTGCTTTTCCGACCAAAGACATGTCATTACCGTCCAAAATCAACAGAAAAAGGAGAAAAACAGATTTTCTTGTATAATTTTGCCAATAGTAATAACATTTTTTATTTTCAATTAATTTGATTGACACCCTATTACACTTTGCCAAGTTATCTCACTGTTATCTAGGGGTGTAACGATTCACAGAATTCACGGTTCTTGACTTACCTCTGTTTGGGGGTCACGGTTCGGTACGGGTTCGGTACAACAAGAAAAAACAAAAAAAAGTCCCAAATGCATAATTCCAGGTTTGTTGTTATTTATTTTTGAACAGTAGGGCAAGTTTCAGTATAAAAATTACATTTTGAATAATTAACTGTATTACACAGTTAAAAACAAACCACAAACAGTACCACACACTTAGATGGCCATATTATCTATAATGGCTGATGTCAAACTAAAAGGTTTCATCAAGCTGCAAAACTAAAAAGAATGTCTTGAAAATATTACAAAATAAATAATAAGAAAGTGTTTCCAGGGCGCTAAGCCGTTGAAATATATATGTCAATAGCTTCCGTTATAAATTCTTTATTATCCTGCCGGCTTATTTTGGCCGTCTTCTTCTCCCACATTCCACATTGCAGAAACTCCGTTCAAGCATCAAAACGTTCAGCTCGGTCGGGAATCGATTGCTATTACTTTTCTCATTCATAACTTTCATAATTCCAGAGATACAGTGGGGCAAAAAAGTATTTAGTCAGCCACCAATTGTGCAAGTTCTCCCACTTAAAAAGATGAGAGAGGCCTGTAATTTTCATCCTAGGTATACTTCAACTATGAGAGAGAAAATGAGAAAAAAAAATCCAGAAAATCACATTGTCTGATTTTTAAAGAATTTATTAGCAAATTATGGTGGAAAATAAGTATTTGGTCAATAACAAAAGAACAATATTTCTGGCTCTTACAGACCTGTAACTTCTTCTTTAAGAGCCTCCTCTGTCCTCCACTTGTTAACTGTATTAATGGCACCTGTTTGAACCTCGTTATCAGTATAAAAGACACCTGTCCACAACCTCAAACAGTCACACTCCAAACTCCACTATGGCCAAGACCAAAGAGCTGTCAAAGGACACCAGAAACAAAATTGTAGACCTGCACCAGGCTGGGAAGACTGAATCTGCAATAGGTAAGCAGCTTGGTGTGAAGAAATCGTCTCCATGAGTGTTTTTTATTGGTTAAGTGGTCCTTGGTATGAAAAAGTTTGAGAAACACTGCGCTAGTGGATTGTCAAAGGGGGAGCCTCGTTGCGGGGAAATTATACAGATGGCTAGTCCGCCCCTGAAAATGTCTATGCAAACGTTATTATGAGTAATAATTTGAAAATAAAAATTATAAAAAAAATTAATCCTTTTTTTTGTATAATTTTTAATTTTTAATTTATTTTCCATTTTTATTTTGTAATCATCTTGCGACCCCCCACTCATGTGATTTTCTGGATTTTTTTTTTCTCATTTTGTCTTTCATAGTTGAGGTATACCTAGGATGAAAATTACAGGCCTCTCATCTTTTTAAGTGGGAGAACCTGCACAATTGGTGGCTGACTAAATACTTTTTTCCCCCACTGTATATCCCATAATTGATCACATTTTTAACATGGAAGTCAATGGAGAAACTCTTCAGACTTGAACAATCTTCATGCAACTTCAATTGCTAACTGCTCCTTCATACTTTCACTCAGAAACCTCATTCCAACTTTAAAATGTTA